TCAAAGCCCCTTGTCTGCCTAACATCAGAAAACACTGCAGCCAATGTGGTCTCTGCAGAGGATAACTCACATAATACCATTTCCCTGCTTAAAACTCTCAAGTGATTTCACATCACACTTTCTAGAGACCAGACTCCTCTCCATAGCCTAAGGACCCATCACCATCTGGCCTCTGACTTCTCCAAACCAGCCATGCTTATTCTCTGCCTCCTCTGCCTGGGATGCTTTTCCTTCTCTTTCCAGGGAAGCTGCTCTTTGGACATTTCATTCTGCTTCATTCACAAGGGCTTCCCTGACCACCAAGTGAACACTAGGTCTTCATCCCTGTTTTATCTTTTTTTTTTTTTTTTTTTTTGGTACCAGGGATCAAACTCTGGGGACCTTGTACTTGCAAGGCAGGCGCCAGAACCACTGAGCTAAATCCCTGGCCCATCCCTGCTTTATCTTATTCACTGCATTTATCACTTGTTTGAAATTTACTTACATGTTCAATTAGATTTCTGATTTATTACCTAAGCCGCTTAAAGATAGAGACCTTTCTTCTTACTGTAGCTCCAGTGTCTTACAAGAATGAATGAATAAATGAATGAGAGCTGTCTTTAGCCTGTTTTGTGGCAATAAACACCACAGACCGGGTAATTTACAGTGGGCTTGAGATAGACAATTCCGGGCATGGCAAAGCTGGCTGGGGAAGTTGGTATGACCTGTTAATTACAAAATCCTAGAACACATGTAGAACGAACGGTTCCCACAGCCTGGCACTTGGACTTGTCATGAGAACTTGAGCAGGTTTTCAATAGGATGGCTTAGCCTAAGGAGTGGGTGATACAAAAAGGACAGTCCACATTAAGATTTTGCCACTGTGTTCTCTCTTGCATGATGGCCCACCCTCACACTGTAGAGTGTATTTCTTTTCCTACTTTTACTTGGCCCAAACTCGCTCTGCAGAGCTGATTTCTTTTCCTACCTTTAATAAAACTTTGCTACCATTTGTGCTTGTCTTGACCAATTCTTTGCTCAGGACAGAAAGAACCTAGAAAACACCTCCAGAAGGAGACTCTAGCACCCCCAAATCCAGTAACAAGCTGAAATGTATTGGTTCAGAGTTCTGGAGGCTAGGAAGTCCAATATGGCCTCAGCATCTGATGAGGTCTTTCTTGATGCATCATCACATGGCAGAAAGGAAAACAGAGAGAGCGAGCAGAGGCCAAATCCACCTTTTATAATGGTATTACTCTACTGGAGGGCAAACTTTCACAACCTAAACACCTATCATTAGGCATAACCTCTCAACAGTTGCACTGATTATGTTTTCAGTACCTGAGTTTTTGAAGGGACAAGACACCCATGCCATAAAAGATGATAAAAGAGAGGTATTTTAGAAGGCCCCAGAGTTCTTGTTTTGACTTGTCATGAGCTTGGCACCCTCCCTGAATAGGAACAACCCTAACAAAACTCACGCTTGATCAGGGGGTATTATTCAGTGGTAGAGTGCAATATAATTCTTCCAAAAGTTAAAAATATTACTTTCAAACAAAAATAAATGTGTAAGGTTTTAACCCATTAATGAGGAAACCAATAAGATGTTAAAATTATTAGCAAATATCTCTTACAAAAGGCAGCTTTTCAGAACTTCTCCTTTATCTGAAGTTTCTCACAATAAATGGCCCAAGACAGTCACTATACCAGTCAGACGTATTTGGGGTTTGCATATTCTGGTCTCCTACATACTTGTGTCTTGTACCCTAACAGAACTATGTACATCACTGAGTTACAATTCAATACCCATTAGTTTCTAAACGTAGTTCAGAATAATTTAAACACAATTCATATTTTTACGGTAATATTTAGAGATTGGAGATAAAAACACAGATTCAGAGGCTATCGTATGGAAGAAAAGGAAGAGAAGATTGAGTAGACCACTAGAGCCTTTTAGGAATGGAAAAGGCATTGATTTAAATCAGCACAATACACCTTGCCTTTGCTTAACGTGCTTTTCCTGGCCGTGTCATCTTCAGAAGGTCTCCCCCGCCCCCATCCCACTTTCTGTTTCAGCAAATTACATTTAAATGTTTGGGGTTTAAAATCTTTCTTTGAAATCTACTCTAGAGACTTACTCATGTCTCTGGAATTGCTCCCATGTACACAGGAAGTATACATGTTCATGAACTTTTGTCTCCTTTTCTTTCGTTAATCTAACTTTTGCTTTAGGGAATTATCTAACGTTGTCCACCCATTTGCAAGTTGTCCTTTGACTTCCTCTCATTTTTCCCAGCATTCTAAATTTTAAAGAAAAGCAGCAGTAAACAATTGAGATGTTAACTGCTAAATAATCTTTCTTTAGATCTACAGACTTCAAAACACCTGGTAGCCTTCAGATACTATCAGAACGTAGCCTTGCCATATTCTAGCCCATGCATTAATTAATATAAAGCATTTAAGTTACTGTGAGGTTTAACTTGCAGAAAAATATTATGGTTGTCTGAAGAATTATAGGCAAGCCCCAAGATGTGAAGGCCAATTATGATGTTCCAGCCAGAGAGGGAACAATAAAGGAGACACATACCCTGCCCAGCACATAGACTTCCTGATCATTGTCCCTTCGCGCTCTCTCCCTATAAAAGTCCTTTCAGGTTCCTGAGTTCTTTAAAATGGTCTTATTTGGGGGGATAGCCAAGCCCATCTTCTCAGAGTGCCAGCCCTTGAACATGATTGATTTCCTTTCACTGACTCTCACCTCCTGAATATTAGGTTTCAGTTTGTGAGCAGACAGACTTGGACTCAGTAACAATTCCAGGTAAGAGTCATGAAGTGTAGAGAAAAAATATTTTTCTTTCCCTAAAGTTTCAAGATTACTTGGTCCTGCATTAAGGCTTAGTGAGACTTAATAGTATGCATAGTAGACGTAGTGTGAAAGTTGAGGAAGACTGTGGGCTTGGATTTTAGCAGAATCATTTTTAGAGATTTTTAAAAACTTGATTGTTCCCCTAGATGGGAGTAGTAGAATAGTATCCATGATTGCAAAACTAGGGGAGAGGCAAGGCCAATTTTCAGGTAACACTGGGCTTAGATTTGTCACATCTTTACCTTTCCGTGGACCTCTGACCCGTGCCAGGAGCATTTTGACTGCGAACTCTAGTGCAGGGAGCACCATTCACACCCCTAGGCTACCAGCAGCAGCAAGCACGGGCCCTTGGCCATGTGGAGCCTTCTGTCTAAGACAGGATGTCTACCCTATGGCATGAGACATTGCACTGGGCTCTCACATACAACCGAACTTCGTAATCATCTCTGAAATGACAAGGGATTTTTTTCCATATAAAACAGACATTATTTCTTAGGACTCTCCCAAGTGCTGCCAAGTCAGTATTGGAAATCATTCACTATGTAGCCATAGAAACCTCATTAGGAACTCAGAATGCCGGGTGAAAATTCCCAAAACATTTCTCAGGGCTCCCAAGAATTGATGAAAGAAGCTTCTTGCTCGGGTGAGTTTCTCCACAGTCAAGGAGCCCTGTTACAATGCTGGCTTTGTGAGGTGGCCTTAGCCCTGGGGCTGGGCCTGTCAGGCTGACTCCCAGGTCCCAAACTGAATGAATCCCCAGCTTGACCTCAGCTGGAAAAGTCAAATGTGCGAGGATCAAATGTCTTGGAGCAAGAAAAGGGCTACTCATTAAGTTGTCCAGCACATAAAACACAGATAGTATTAGAGATGAGGAGGAAGCACAGCTTCTCAGACCCAAAAATAGTGGCTTCAAGTATGTTCAACATGAGGGATCTGCTCCAGAGTTGAAGGACTGGGCCTCCACTCCAAAGAATTCTGCTGGAAACATTTGTGCACAGATGCCACACACATCTGTTCTGAACTACACTAACATGTTAACGGGGGAGAATGAAGCCTAAGGCCTCTAAAATAGCACCAGTCGGGAGGAGAGCTATTAAAGGGGAACTTTTTAATGCTTGGTGTTGGAATTCTGAACTTAGAATCTCAACCCCAGGCTCATTACACAGCCCAGTCTGTGTTGAACTATGAATTTTTTAGGACTTTGAATCTTTATGGCATTCAATTTAACGAGCAATACAATTTGTGTTCTGTCACTTTAGCCAGACACAAAAATAATAACCATTGCTTTAGTTCTATCTGATACAACTGATAACAAGCAATTAATTTAAAGAAGCATTTATAAAACCTAGGCAAATACTTTCTATAATACTGAATTCAAAAACATTATGTGATTGGTGCTAAAATTGACTAACCACTACCTAGTGTTACGCTTGTGACATTTTTTTCCAAACAGATTATAAATATGCAAATTCCCATAACTGTGAATTGGCTTTTTCTGTATTCTGGATGATAATTTACCATGTACATTACAAAATGTCCAAGTGCTAATAAATCTTCCTCATTATTGGATATGTTTTCTAACTAATGCAATGATGTGCCACACAGCGTGACTATTAAAATTATCAGGGTCCTGAGGACTCTTTCGGAGGCCAACACAAGACGTCTCACTGAAGTACTAGTAATAAACTAACAGCAATAAGCGAACAATTCATTTTGGAATTAGCAGAACAGTTAGGATAGCCAGTGACTAGGGAGATTTGGACTCTTCTAAGCCTATGTCTTTCATTGTGTGAATTATTTTCCTGACACTAACCTGCTATCTTCAGGATTTAAAAAATTAATCCTTAACACCTGCTTGTAAACTTGCTACTTGTTCTTCTCATAATCCTAAAAAAAATGTATAACTAGTTGTTCTGCTGGGTTATGCCATATTTCTTTTCTGAAAATATATTATTGAATCAAAGGGTCATTTGATTTATTTCAATTCAGAAAATATTGATTTTTTTTTTTTTTGAGATGAGGTCTCATTACATTGCTCAGGTGGACCTCAAAGTCCTGGGCTAAAAAAATCTTCCCAGCTCAGCCTCCCAAGTATTGGGCCTACAGGTACTGTATGTGATCAATAAATATCAATTTTGTGTTTTTATTAAACAAGACTCAACAGCAAAGAAAACAGAAAAAACTAGAGCATGGCCTGTGTCCTCATGGCGCTTCCTATTAAGCTGAGTGGATGGTGAGTAAATAAATCAGTAGCTATAAATACTCAGTGGAGTAAGAGCTAAACGGTGCATTGTAAAAGGATAGAAACAGCAATCCCATTTGAACAGCTACCATCAATCAAAATAAATTTTGAAATACAAGATCAATTGAAAAATATGGGAGGGAGAACATCCTAGGCTGAGGGAAAAGCTTGAGCAAAGACACAGAAGCAGGGATGTATAAAGTATTTTTGGGAAACAAGAAGTTGTCTAGTTTCACTGGACCATATAGTAGGTATAGGGTAGTTACAATAAGAGACAAAGCTGGAAGGCGATGTTCAGAGGACAATTTAATGGATGAAAACCAGATTGAGACCTGCATATGTTTCTGCGGGCAACAAGGGCATGCTGAGTTTTTTAAAACATGGAGTTGTGTGATCCCAGCCAGGCTTGAGGAGGATTAGTAAGGTCATGGCTTATAGAAGAGAACAGAGGAGTAAAAGGAGAAGAGGGAATTAGAGCCAGCACTGGAGCCAGGAAGTCCAGTCAGAGCTATTACAACATTATTTGCACTTGGATATCTCATAGGCCTCTCAAACCTATGATGGCCAAGAGAGAAATCTTCATTTTTCCTCTATAATATTTTCTCCCTCAACCTTCCGCATCTCAGCCCCTGTTCTGGCACTACCATCCACCTTATTCCTCTAGACAGGAACTGGGAGTTACATTCATTTGATTTCTCCCTTTCCCTCATCCCCATGTCTGACCCATTAGAAAGTCTTAACAGTATCCCAAAAGGACATTCTGTGTCCAACCACTTCTTTCCATTTTCCTCATTAAAACCCTAGCCTAGGGCACCCTAAACATTCATTTGTACAGCTGCAATAACCTCCTGACTGGTATCCTTTTCACATTCTCCAAGTGGCAGCCAAAAAGAACTACTCAAAGTGTAAATCACATCATACTACTCTCTTGTTTAAAATTCTCCAATTGTGGCCCATTGTATGTACAACAAAATCCAAACTTTCTCTTGTGTTCTAAAAGGCTCTGAATATTGTGTCCTTTGCTTAACCCTCTGATTCTCTCTTTTCTTTCCATCTCCATGATGCTGTAGGCTTCTTTCACTTTAGGGTCCTTTTAATTGCTGAGTATCATAATTATTCCCCAGGTCTCATTCTTTCATGATGAAGTTTTATAGGGCTGGATCCATCTCTTACCCAGTAAATCTATATATAGCTTTTCAAGAGCCACGTAGAAAAAGTTCTGATTTGTGGTTGCAGAAGCTATTGTAGAAATTGACTGCAATAAAAGGACATCTTTGAGAAGCCCCAAAATAGAAGACTCCCCTAGATCATTTCCTCCCCCTTGACCCTCTGGAGTTACATTTGGTGACACAAACTAAAATATCAAAGGTGGCAATGGGAAAGGGAGGATAAAGTTTCTTTTCCAAAAGAGAAGGCTCCTTGGACTTCTCCAATTCCCAAATCCATCACTGTTTTCCTCTCCATTCATTTCTCTGCAGAACACTTAGTTTATTCAAATGTACAAAGCTCCTATCACTTTGTTATTACAAAAGAATATATGCCCTTGCACATATAAACATCTCTTCCTTCTCACCTCCATTTTTGTACCACATCTCTAAAACATATTTCCAACTAAACCATGCTTCAGATCAAGTACTAGCCAATTCAGTTTCTGGAAAAGGCTGTCTTATTATATTATCACATGGCTTTTCCTTGTGCCTGTGAGTAGAAAAAGAGAAAGGACACAGCTCTCTGGTATCTCTTCTTATAAGGACACTAATTCCATCATAAGGGACCCATCCTTCTGACTTCATCTAAACATAGTTACCTCCCAAAGGACTTATCTCTAAATACTATCACTTGAGAGTTAAGACTTAACATTAAGAGGGAGGGAGACAATTCAGCCCATAGCATCTTCTTATTAAAATTTGTCAGACCCATAATATTCAAAGAAACTTCTGTTTTCCTGACCCAAACTACTGGTCCCAGCACGAAAAAACAGGCAATGACAATAAATCAGGCCCTACGTGGAAGGAGCAGCTGCATAGATTTCAAATTCATGGGGAAAATCACAAAAGCCCCAGCTCCATCAGTGCCATCATGCCAGAAAATGCCCAAAGAGACAATTATCTTTGCCAAAGAAATCAAGATGAAGCATCATAAAAAGTCAGAAAATGATCACATTGTGGTCTATCATTCCCTACTAAAAAGAACTACACAGAGATCCTTGGAGGAATGTCTAATACCTGGTCTAGGCCAAGAAATTTTCAAGATAAGTCTAGGTATCTTATTATACCAGAGAGTGAGGAAGCTGTCAGAGGCCTCTGGGGATTTATGAAAATGACAAAAGAAGCTAACCTGAAGAGGCTCCTTTGGGCCAAAATTGAGATAATTTAAGCAAGAAAAGAATAATGGCTGTGCTATGGTTTGTCTAGGTGTGCCCCGAAGGGTCATATGATAAAGGCTTAGCTCCCAACTCATGGTGATATTAAGAGTTAGTGGAACCTTTAAGAGGTGGGACCTAGTGGGAGGAAGTGAGGTCATTGGGAATGTACCCTTGAAGAGATATTGGGATCCTAACCCCTCATGTTCCTCTCTTGTTTTCCAGCCACGATGAGGTAAGCAGCTTCCTCTAACACAAAGTCCTGCCATAATGAACCATGTGCCTTGCTACAGTCCCAAAAGCAACAGGCCAACCAACTGTGGACTGAAACCTCCAAAACTGTGAGCCAAAATAAACCTTTCCTCTTTCTAAGCTGATTATCTGAGGTATTTGTTATAGCAATAGAAAGCTGACTAAAATAGCCTACAATGGATTGCAATACATCAAATATGTTAAAAATCTGTATGTTCATAAAGACACAGAAAAGAATTTGTTAGTTTTGGAGGTTGTTAGGAAAACAAGACATTATCCTGAAAACTAGTAAAGAATCAAGCATTTATTGTAGCTTTCCCATGTAAACTCTATCATTGAAAATAAAAAATTAGTTGATTAAAAAAAAGTTCAGAAAGAATGTGTTTCCTTGTGGTCACAGTTCCTGTGAAGCAGCTCCTCTTCCACAGACACAGCTGTCACTTAGTTCCTGGAACACTGTCCTTTCCCCATGCACCTTCAGGGCAAAGGATGCTGTATTAGTTTGCAAGGGCTGCTGTAATAAAGAACCACAAACTGAGTGACTTAAACAGCAGAATTGTATTATTTCACAGTTCTGGGGGCTAGAAGTCTGAGATCAAGGTGTCAGTTGGGTTGGTTCCTCCTAAGGGCTGTGAAGGAGAATCTGTTCTATGCTACTCTCCTGGCTTCTAGAGGTGAGCTGGCAATCTCTGGAATTCCTTGACCTACAGAAGCATCCACCCTGTCTCTGTCTTTGTGTTCACATGGCCTTTTCCCTGTTTGTATGTTTCTGTGTCCAAATTTCCCCTTTTTATGCGGACACAAGTCATAGTGGATTGGAGTCTACCTAATGATCTTATTTTAATTTGATTACCTCAGTAAAGAACGTATCTCTACATAAGGTCACACTGAAAGGCATTGAGGGTCAGAACTCCAAAATATCTTTTAGGGGGACACAATTCAACCCATAGCAGATGATAATAGCATCTGCTATTGCTAGTCCCTCAATGTTTCATCATCTTTTCTAGACTAGTTTGAGTTTTCCACATCATGATAAATAGTTCCACAGAGTATATCAAGTTTGCTCCGGGGCTCTGACTGGTGCAACCCCTTTGAGAGCTATTTACTATGTTAAGTTGCTAGGACATGGTGAGAGGTGGCATGGGTGGTGGGTGAAGTGAGTGAAAGGGAGGTATTAAACATGATTTCCACTCTTCTGCCCTGGGCAATGGTGGTAGAATGCCTTTCACTGAGATCAAGCATGAAGAGAAGAATTGTGTTTAGACATGTAAAGAATGTGTAAGACACATGCACACGCACACACACGGCCTGTGATTTATAGGGTTTACATATGTTGGACATACAATGTCAGCAGCAGGAATTCAAGTCCTGGCTCTGCCACTTATTGGTTGAGGCACTTATGAAAAAAGACTCATCTGTTTATTCTTTATCATGTCCAGTAAAATGTCCAACAAAATGTCTGGTATGTACTAAAGAAATGATAAATGTTAGTATTAGCCAGGATTACTTTTACATATGTCCTTTACATGTGGAGAAAGTATTACCAACAATAAAGGTTTTGAAGAGATTGACCTGAACGTGCTCTAATTCCTATTTTCCACTGAAAATTTAAAATTACTTTGAATGCAGTGCAGGATGGAAATAAAGTTGCTGGCAGGCTTGTAGATTTAAAGCTTTCTTCCTATTTGGTTTTGAACTCAGTAAGCCTGTTTAAAACAATTTCTAACCTCGATGGTAGGTATCAATTGAAGATGTAAATAGATTTCAAAGCAATGTAGATATTTTATGATGTTAAGGGGATTTAGAAAATAATCTGGCCTTTGATTTTCAGATGATGAAGTTCAGACCTGAAAGGTTAAATGATTCATCTGAAGCCACAAAACTGATGCAAAGTAAGGACTAAATTCCAGACCTTGTGGCTCAGGAGATGACCTCTTCATCTCCAACATGGCGGCCTCCAGCAAAACAGTCCAGAAAAAATGTTTTTTGCACAGAATTTTCAAATTATATTCAACCTCTCTCTAAAAAGATATGTTAGAATTAGTGATGAGAACCCAAAGCAGAAGTTTAAAAATGACTATGTTCTAGTAAATCCACTAAAATTATCACTTTGAAAAATAGGTGAATGATTTAACTAGCAAGTTAAACTTTGGAAAAAATGTATGTTCTTAGCAAAAAGTGTACTTTCACACTGGGAATAGATTTTTCCTATACCCTTGAACTATAAGTTGTTACTTTTTAAAATATTCTTTTGAAGACGTTGTTATTATTTTTTCCTACACAACAATTAATTTAATGCTGTCTTCAAAATTATACATCTTATAGAGATTCTATTTTAAGGAAATTTGATTTAATTAAGTGAAGACATGTTGAGGAGATGATTATATACTTTTATAATTAACTTGGATTTTGAAGTTCGAGTGAAATAAACCTAAGCATAACAAGTGGGTCAGTTATGTTGCAACACTTCTATAATTGTGTGGAACTAAGTAAGCCAGTTTGCCCTCTTAGAAGGAAAACCAGAGATAGAATTTATTTCCCCATCTCACCTTTTCTGGTGTAGGAAGGAGATTTCAGAAAAAAAGAAAGCTGCAGGACAAAATTGGAGACAAAATTAACACAGTATTTCTTAATATGGGTTATGTTTTTTGTATTATAAAGTATGCTGGGTAGGGAAAAGCCAGCTAACTGAACTGGATTGTTAAAAAGGTTCTATTATCTCAAAGATTTGGTATCCATGGTAACTGAGACATACTTACTCTTTCCATCCTTAGTGAGGGAAATAAACAGTAAAAGAGCTTGCCATTTCCTGATATCCTTGTCTCATACCTAATAAGTTATTATTTGAGTGGGATGCCTTAAGAAATCTTATTCTTGTTTTACCTTTAAAACAGAACCAACAGAAATAAGAAATAAGAAAATATAATCAAAGCACAGAAATGCAAAACCAGCTCACAAAGTCAGGACTGGGGGTGCTTCAAAAGCACTTCCAAGAAAGAAAAGAGTTGCTCTCTGCATTTCACCTCAGGCTGGCTGATGTCTAAGGTAGTAGCCATGCATGTCCCTGTGCTGCTACAAGCTATAGGATGTATGGTCCTCTCCCATGAAAGCTTCCGTGGTCCCTAAGGGAGCCAGATAAAGTGGGCCAACCTCAAACAGCCTAAAAATATTCTAAAAAGAATATCCAATCAGTTGTTACCAAGTGCTTTTTGCATGTATAACTCATTGTTGTCTCTGAAGAATAACTTGTCAAACAAGTTCTGCATATCTATATGTGCCAGCTACTGTGTAAGGTTCTGAGGATGTTGGATATGAATGCGACTGTACCAGATGACAAAGATGTGGATCCTGAATAGGATCTAGATGTCGCATTTCCTATTGACATGAAGAAGGATCATTAACATCCATCTTCGGTGAGCACGTCATTATTTAACACCCTTAAAACAGTTTCTTGCAACCAACTGACACTTAATAAACGTTGACTGAATATAAGAGCTCTAGGGAATTATCATAATGAAGTTAAGAAACTTCAAAGTTATCTGTAACAGAGAGGCCTTCAAAACACAATGTCTCAAGTTGTAATCAAATAAAATGGTGCAATTAAAATTTGTTATAAATAATGATAAATATAATTAAAGTTTTAAGAAATGAGTACCAAGCTGGCATATGGATCCATACAGTCTGGCTCCAGGGAATACTATACTCTACCTCCTCTTAAACAGCTGACCTGAGCAGGAAAAGGGACAGACGCTAAAATCTTTGTATAGCTGTAGTGATTGGAAAAAAAAAAAAGGAAAGGAAAACAGTTCTAAACTTTAAACTACAAAACTTTAGAAGACAAACATACACTGTGTCATCAAATTAAATCTATTCATTCATTGCTTTATTCATTTCTTCAGTCAATATTCATCCTGCCCAGAACTCTTTTGGGCACCAGAGCTGGCACACATGGGACACAAGTCACTGTCCTCATGGTCTATTTTCTCTATAGCTCTGGCCACCTTCAAATACACCCTCTGATTTATTTATATGTTAATTATATTGATCATCATCTGTTTACTCTTAATAGAACATAAATTCCAGGAAGACATAACATTTTGTGTTTTTATCCCAGAAGTATCCCAAGCTTCTACAGCAGTGCTTGGAATACTACAGGGATTCAATAAATATCTGTTGAATGAATGAATCATAGAGCTTACTTTTTGGTGGAAGACAACATAACTTTTAAATGAAATAATAGGAATATATGCAGAGTACAGTCATAAGTTTTCTATGCTTCTTTTCTTTCATACAACAGTGGTATTTCTCTGTCACTATTAGCCTTACAAAGACAGTCTGAGTCTTAAGTAAGATGTACAAATACTTTGGGGCCCTGAGAAGACTGTGGGCCCTTAAATATGTGACAGTTTTGTAGTCTGCCTTTGAATTTCTTCTATTTCAAAGTTTTAGAGAGAAAGGTCTGCAGGCATATTTATCATTTTCAGTGTGATTTCAGCACACTGATAAATGTCACGGGTAGCTCAATATCCAGGCGTGTTCCCCCACCCTGCTACTCAAAAACCACACTCAAAAGCTACCCAAAAGCCAAGATTTTCCTAAGTTTGGTACTGCATTATTTTACATTTTATTTCTATAGTCCTACTTTCTCTTCCAGCAACTCTTCATTTATCTTTAAAACTGCTGCTGAAATATAAATCATATACCACACAATTCACTCATTTAAAGTCACTTTTAGTATATTCATAGAGGAATATCCATCCCCAGAGTAAATTTTATGACATTTTCATCACATCAAAAAAGAAACCCCATGCCCTTTAGTTTTCACCCTCATATCCACCCCTTCTCTCCTCTGCTGTAAGCAAACACTAATCTGCTTTCTATTCTTATAAATTTCCTTATTATGGACTTTCACATAAATGGAATCTTATATGTATTCTTTTGTGTGTGGCTTCTTTCACTTAACATATTTTAAAGGTTCTTCCAGGTACTATACTTCCTTTTTTGGCTGAATAATAATCCTTTTATGGATATATCACATTGTTTATCTATTCATCTGTTGATAGACATTGGGTTGTTTACACTTTAAGCTATTGTGAATTATGCTGCTGTGACCATTCCTGTGTAAGTTTTTGTATGGAAATTTTTTTCTTTTTGGTATATAACTAGGAGGAGAATTGCTGGGGCATACAGTAACTCTGTTTAATCCATTTCAGGAACTGCCAGACCATTTCCCAAAGCAACTACACCACATTACATTCTCACTGGTAGTATATGTGGGTTCCAATTTCTATGTATCTTCAGCAACACTTGCCAATATTTACCTTTTTTATTCTAGTCACCATAGTCAATGTGAAGGTGTAATCTAATTGTGGTTTTGATTTTCA